CACGCACACACACACACACACACACACACACACCATGGGTCTCAATATTCCGATATTTAGTGGATTTCCGCTACCGCCATTTCCTCCGCTAAACTCCGCTACCGCCACAGCGCGTCGATCTGAAAGAGAGTTGCTGGGAGCAGGGTGACTGCCAGGCCCCGGGAATTTGAAAAAAAATGGCTGAGACCAGGGAAAATACATAAAAGATCTCGAGTATTTGAAAACCAAATCCAATAACTTCGTTAACTCTTTTTATCCGGGCTACGAGTATACTCGCGTAACGAGGAACAGTCCGGGCTACGAGTATTCTCGGAAAAGCGATACGGTCACATCAAAGAAGCTAGTTCTGCTTGTAATTACCTAAATAAGCAAATACGGCGATGCTAGCTCTGTCTGAATATTTTAATATTCCAATGAACAGTGGTTTCTTTGTTTTTGATGGGTGTAGAAGCTTGAAAGATGTCTCGAAAACGCACATTCACGACCTGCGAAGCTCTTTTTGAAGTGGCGCTGGGTTGTGAGGGGGAATGATACTAATTTGATGAAAGTTACTCTGAAATAAGTGCCGTAAATTCCGTTGTGGATGATAAAAAACAGGACTTAGAATCTTCTAATAGCGATTCAGATCACGGTAAAGGGGTCAGTACTGAAATTCGTGCTCGATGGGTAGGGCTTCTGTCGCGATCACCCGGAAAGTTCCTCCTTTTGTAAAATTCTGAGTTGAGACCCATGACACACACACACACACCCCTACTCACACACAAAACATATACTCAAAACCATCGTTGTAATTTGTTTTGATGTAATAAATCTTATGTTCACAGACTTTGCTACAACAGTGCTTTACATCTGATTTTTTTTTTACTATGGTGCTTCTACTTTGATGTTCTGTCTGTATGTCCTTCTTTGTTTATATAATCTTTTTTCATAATTTTTAAAGACAAAAGTCTCCTTTATTTTTTTTTTGCTTTCTACAGTGGGCTCCTCTTATAACAGTCATGGGTATAACAGGATTCTGGCTATAGCTGGGTTATTATAAATCCTGAGTCTGATCTGTTATAATTTATTGTGAAAAAGTTCCTTGTAGAAGGCATTCGGACAAACATGCTCAGCTGTTGCTAAAAAAGTTGTTGAGTCTGAAAGCTGATATATATATATCACAGCATTTAGATTTTCTCACTGCAAGATCACAGTTTGTGAAATGTATACCGTGCCAGAAATTATTAAAACAAACACAGTTGCGCCTGTGCTGTACTATGCAATTAACGGGTTATTATTATGACCGTGCTTCTCAAATCGTGTCCAGTCAACCTCAAAGGTGAGGAGGGAAAAAAAAATGACGGAAAAGAAAGGAGCAATAAAACTGATAAATCGTTTTGTAGTTGGGAAACTATACTATGTAAAAAATATAATCTCATTCATTAACCATTAGTTACAGTTTATGTAAACTTCTGTAACAGGCTTCGGCTATAACAGGGATAATATTATATGTTGGTCCCAGCTGTCCTTTTATTTCCTGGGCTCACTGTACCTTTCTTGATTGGTTGCTCAAAGTAAGCATAACAAGACATACACATGCAATCTGGCACTTCTTCATTTTTCCCAATTGTAAAACAAAGCTTTCTTTTCTTGTATTCACAGAGGACTTCACTGCCCACAGTGCTGATGTAAAATGCCTTGGTTTGGGCCACAAGTCCGGCCGAGTTATGGTTACCGGTGGCGACGACCGGAAAGTCAACTTGTGGTCCGTTGGCAAACCTCAGTGCATAATGGTAAGTGTGCCTGTCAGAGTAGCTATGTCAATGAAGAGAAATGATTTGTTCACTTTAGCCCTTATCTGTATTGCTGCCTGAAAAAGCTGTCTGTTCAAGCATGATACTTTTTTAAATTAAATTTTAAATTTCATCCTTAAAAACAAAAAAGTTACAGGGTTACAAAGTGCGGCAAAACATGGGTGATCTTTTGGAAAATATTCTCAAAAAGCAGACTACATAACAATAGTTTCTGTAAAATAATTCATTGCATCTCAGACTTTCATGTCATATTGAACGTTGATTGATCTTTGATTCTTACTTTGCTGCTTATGTTATTAGTAGATTTTTACTATGTAGCCACTGATGTTCTTTTTGGAGCATGTAATTAATTTCCCTCTCTTTGTCTTTTCAGAGTCTTATTGGGCACACTACAAGCATTGAGTCAGTACGTTTCAACCCCAACGAGGAACTCGTTGTAGCGGGTTCTTTCTCAGGGGCTCTCAAAATCTGGGATCTGGAGGGTGCCAAAAGTAAGTCGGTCTCTACTTTTATATCATAGAAGTTTAATTTGTATTGTGTTTGGGTACCCTCACAAATTCTCAATAGTGAATCCTTTAGAAAGCTGAGAGGATTTTTTATGAGCCAAAGTGCATTTGTGATGGGAACCGTGAGTGTGAAGGCTCTTGTATCAAAGTAATGTGTTTCACATCATTCGAAGTTGACATCTATAATTTAAGCATATGATCAGATTATAAAAATTGACATTTACAGTGTGTCTCTGATAGTCCCATTTTAAAAAGATTTTAACAGTAAAATATACTTTAGTTTCATCCTACCTAGGAAAAATTAAGAATGAGTTTTCTTCCTTCAATAAAAAGCTTCTGTGACATAAAGTAAGCAAGCAGTGTATCATATTGATTTATGAAGTTCAGTGGCAAACTATTTTCCTATAAATGGCTTCCGATGTAAGATTTTAATTTAATTCTCTCTTACAGGCCTAAGGACTCTAACAGGTCATAAAGCTGGTATAAAGGCACTTGACTTCCACCCTTATGGCAATTACATTGCATCTGGGTCAATGGACTGCAATGTTAAGGTTAGTTTTATTTTGTATTTAGTTACTTGCAAAAGAAGATATGACGGTCATTAGAAACATACTTAAAAAAGACAGTACGAAAAGGGAAGATAGGGAAGAAGGTGAGAAGAGACTGTGTCATGAGTGGTTGGTTGGTTGAAACTTTTCAAGTGGTGAGGAGACGTGTGAGGCAGGGTGGTAAAATCAGGCGTCCCTCAAATTAATGAAATTAAAGTCACCGGCATGTTCTTGACAGTTTGTCTATTTTTATCAAATTTTGGGTGTTTTGGCTCAATACCTTTTATCTCCATTAAAAAATACATGTCTGTGTTAATATTTCTGAAAAATGTTGATTAAATGTACAAAAAATGTAAATTTTCAGTCTTCAAGGACTCGCAAGCTTTGGAAGTCATCGAGCTTTGGCAGCCATTTTCTCGCTTGTTTTACCTCTGAAATCGGGCAACTCTCACCGCCTTCGACCACAGATATCTCTACTTCTATACAAGATAGATGGATGGGTTTTTTTCATTAAAAGCAAGCCTAATAAACAAGCTTTAAGATGCTACCAATAACTCCACATACCCAAAAATTGACGAGCGCCTGATTCCAACACGTCATGACACATGTGGAAGTGGGAAACACACCAAGATAAATGATTGTGATGAGTGTGACATACTCACTACTGAAAAATTGTTGTTACCATTCTTGCCGTTTGTTTGTCAGTGTCATTCAGGGTGTACTGTTAGCCCAGATGGCATCATGTTGGACTACTGAGCGGATGGCTATGTTTGAAATCCCCTGCGGGCCATTCTTCTAAACTTGTGTTGTTTTGAAGTTTTTTAAAGGCTTACCACCCATTTAGCTTGGTCGTACTGGAAATAGGCGATAAATTCGGTGGTCCTGTCTCTTAACTGAACTTACAGTGTTGAAAGGGACGTTAAACCTATACAATGATCAGTGAGTGTCTTTCCTGTTCTATGGTATTTGCTTTTTCATTAGTATGAAAACCAATGAGGCACTTTTTAAAAGTATATTTAGTGTAATCTTTCTTTTAGATAAAAAGGTTTTGACAAATACAGTCGAACCTGTGTAAGACGGCCACCCATTGTCAAGGAGAAAAGTGGCCGTATAAGATAGGTGGCCGTCTTAGGCAGGACTGATTAAGATGATGAAACAAACCATTCCATTCTGAGGTCCTAACCGAAGGTAGCCGCATTGTTGTTGTTTCGGTTGGTTGGTTTTTTGGTTGCTTTTTTATTTTGTTGCTGCTTTTGTGCCAATGTGCCAATAAAATGAAAAATGTGTCAGACGAGTAAGACTGAGTGCCAAGTTAAAACAAGCACATGGGTAGCCACCTCTCGGAGACGTCGCAAGTTCATGTTGATGTCCATTGTTGCTTTGTTACGTGTACAGACTGGGTAAAGAGTGACCACTCATCTCACTTACGATTTGCGTATGAGTTCTGGATGGGGCTTATGGGTTATGAGGGATCACACGCTTACCTCACCAGCAGCTGAAAATTAGTTACCTATTGAACAACTGTGGGAGGGGCCAACACAGCATGATCGGTTGAATGGACTACCCTAACAACTATGACAGGTGATTGGATTGTGACGGCTCTCCAACAACGCCAGGGCCAATGCATAATTTATGACAAAACGTAATGGAGTCACTAAGGTGGCCACCTAAGACAGGGGTTATTGTTTGGTGTGATTGGGGTTGTGTGTTAAAATATTGTGATAGCGGCCACGTTGGACAGGTGGCCGTTTTACACAGTGAAATTATATAGAAAAAACGCAAGGAGAAATGGAAAGCGGGCGTATGTACTAGTGGCCGTCATGGCAGGTTCGACTATATTGTCAACTGTCTTGACTATAAGTGACTTACTTTTTTAAAGCATCACCTCAAGCTTGACTATTCCTCCAAGGTGGAATAAGAAAGATTTCTATTTGAAGGAAGTTCATCTTTGTTATACCATTTTGTACTTTATTACTGATGCTTGGTTGTAACATTTCTTCTTTTTTTTTTTTTTTTAACTCTTTTGAATTGCTTTTGAAGTTTATGAAAAGTATTGGAAGTTTGCTTGGTTGTTTGATTTAAAAAAACTTGGGTTGCAAAAGTTAAAATTGTGTATACTCTTTCAGCTCTGGGATGTACGGAGGAAAGGCTGCATTTACACATACAAGGTAAGTGGGCGTAGGATGTCCTGAATCATTTGTAAATGCCATTTATGGAGTAGTGTTGTCCAGCTATAACTGTCATTCGGCTTTTAAGGTTGTTTTGTGTTTCTTTTGTACTATACAGTTATGTTTTTGGGGTATTCATCGTGTGGAGATTTGAAATGACAGACTATGGTTTATCCCTATCTTTTTATTGTAAATGAATTTTTAAAGAAAAATTCACTCTTCTTTTTTAAGTCTTAAGGGGTTGTATCAGATGGGCAGTTTTAAATATATGTAACTACTGTGAGTACTTCTATGAAACAGTCTTTTACGTTTGTTATTTAAATTCACAGATCAGACCCTACCCATCTTCTTGTCATCTCAGTATGCAGGGGTCTCTTGTGGTTTTGTATGTGTCTTTCACCCCCTTTCCACCACCTCCTCGCTACCCTTCACCTTCATTGATCCCGTATTTTTTCCTTTCTTTTATGTACGTTAGAGCCACAAAGATGCCGTGAACTGTCTACGATTTACTCCAGATGGTCTCTGGATAGCCTCAGCCAGTGAAGACAACACAGTAAAGGTAAGGAGGATGTGTTGAAGGCTTTTTTTTTCTTCTTTCTTCTTCTCTTTCCATCTGTTATCTCCCTCCTTATTTCTTTTGTGCTTAAAAAAGAAGACCTTTCCTTAAGGCTGTTTCCCTCGTGTAGATGTTGACTTGTAGGTCTGGTCTTTGATATAAGTTGTGTAGGAGAGGACAGGGAACACCTACTTATTTTCACTGGTGGCTGGTCAGTAGAGCAATGTGTTGTTCTCCGGCTTTTTACATCTTTTCTGCTTTGCTATTTCTCTAATCTGATTGAGATGAATTGAGGTGGTTATGTTCTTCTGACTGACTGTGAACTATTGCCCAACCTGCTTGCACACCAGCTTACATTTGGAAATCTTTGTGTTCGACTTTGATCTCATTCTTCTGGACTTCAATTGATCTTGACGTGGAAATTGGCAATAGATATATGAAACCCCTCCATGTCTTGGATTGACGGCCTCAGGGGAGTAGTCATTAGCAAGTAAAGACTACCGTTCCTCAAAACAATTCAGTTCACTGATATGACTAAAAATGGCGGCTGTACATCATGCCCTTAGAATGGCAGAGTCAAACTAAACTTTTTACAAAAACTGAGTTGCACACTACACACCACTGACACAGATGGGTGCACTCTGTGTCAAAGGCTTGAGGCAAAGTGACTTGTATTTTTTTTTCAGTTTGACCTTTTACATAAAGTTTAAATCGTTGTAAAAATGTGAATCTTTCAATCCTATTTTCTCAAAATTAGTCATCATGGAGTTAGAACCCTGTTAATCTAAGAGTGCGCTATGTGTGTGCACATGTCTTGGAATGTGTTGTTTGTTGCATACTTTTCAGTGTTTTTTTTCTACTGTCATGTGCTCAGCTATAATTTTTTGAGGAACTTGTCTTTTGTTTCAGATCTGGGATTTAACTGCTGGAAAACTTTTGTCTGAGCTGAAAGACCACACAGGCCCAGTGAACATTGTGGAGTTCCACCCGTCAGATCTTCTGTTGGCATCTGGTAGTACAGATAGGTGGGTCATCTGCTTGTCTAGCACACTTGTGTTTGTATTGCACAACGTTATACATTGCAAGGACTACCATGTATGTCAGAGCAGTTTGCTGAAGAGAATTTGAGAAGTGGGAGTGAAAAAAATCTTTTAAGTGGTTTTTTTTTCATGTGGGAGGGGGAGGGGGTTCAGGAGCTGAATGTATGCAGGCTCACATGTACCTTGAGTTTTTTCATTTGTACAAGGTGATGTTTTTTTTTAACAGTGTAAAGTTGTGTTCTTGAATTGTAAATAATCTGAGAATGGCAAATGATCAGACAGTAGAGTGCTATATGCTCTTTTGTAATCTTGGCTCTTAATGGAACAACAAAATAGATGTCACTTGTTCTGTTACTCATTTTCACAGAATGTTTACTCCTTATTTGGAGGGTATAGAGGTTTTTCAAATATATTTTTGGAACATTGATTACGTGATTAATTTACTATCCTTGTGAAATGTCTTTTCTCCTTGGCAATAAATGCTTATCGCTAGTCTCATACTTTAAAAAAAAAAATTTATTGTAGATGGTTGTCCTTGTTTATTATGTGCTCACATATTACTGTCAAATATCTTTCAGAACTGTTAAATTTTGGGATCTGGAAAGTTTCAAGTGCATTTGCAGTTCAGATACAGACAGGAACCCTGTCAAGTGAGTCAGAAATGTATTTCTTATACTGCGCATGCATGCCTTTTGAATGGAGTGTTATCACTGTAGGGAGAACGTATGTGTTCTCGTTATTTATTTTTTAAAAAATATTATTTTGGAGGATTTCTATATATAGTGTCTTAATTTTTTGGTCTCGTGTGCATATAGTTTTACAAATATTTTAATATTTTTTTTCTGAATGTTTTTTTGTTCTACTCCAAGTTAAAAAAGGAATTGAAAACTTTGATGTCTATCAAAATGAACATATTTCCTTCCTTCTTCAAACATTGATATCTTTTGTGTCCCTGAAAATTTGAGTTAGGTCTTAAGTGAGTGCTCAGCTATGGTTTGTTTATTCTTTTCTATTAAACATCTATCGCCCTTATCTCTCCCTTTTTTGTTTGTTTGTTTGTTATTCTCTTGTTACATCTCTAATTAACGGCACTTATATGACCTAATTGTGTTGGAAGTGCTGTAAAACTTTAACAAAAAACCCCCAAAAAACGATGAAAGTTTGAACAATTATAACTTTTTTTTTCTAACCTTCCTCCCAGGAGCATATATTTCCACCCAGATGGCTCGTGCCTGTACAGTGCCACAGGTTTCTCCCTCAAAGTTTACGGCTGGGAGCCGTTTGTCTGCCATGAGGTGGTCCCCGCTGCCTGGTCGGACATAGCTGATATGGCCGTGGCAAACTCGCAGCTGGTCAGTGAAATCTCTTCTTCCCTTCTGCCTCCTTGACCAGTTTTATTAACCTTTCTGTGCAAGGATATTCCATTATAACCTTTAGTCATTTAGTAATCTACCCAGATATTCTAATTGTTCCAGAGCTGAGCTGTTGTTGCTTCTTGGAAAAGGGCTGGAGCTTGGTCTAAGAGTTTATGCAGTGACTGTAACTGTACTTTGTGACTGTGGCCACCCTGTGTCACAAATGTTTGAATGATAATGCACCATCATATTTATTAAATCTGTTAAGACTGTACATTCCAACTCACAGTTTAAGGTCATCAGCTGACAAAAAGAAATTTATTTTACCATCTATGAAACTTAAAACAATGGGTGAAAAGGCATTTGTATACCAAGGCCCCAAGATCTTGAATGCTTTACCAAGTATGTTAAGAGAGATCAGATCTTTTGATTCATTCAAATGTCAGCTGAAGTCGTTTCTGTTTTTGAATTAATAAGAAGAATATTTGAAATAATTTTCTTTTGTCAGAACATAACGTTTTGTGTTACTGTGTATGTTGTACTGTATTGCAACGTGCTCAGAGCATGTGTACTTTATTCGGGTTTGAACGCTATATAAATGTCATTTATTATTATTATTATTATGGGGTTGCTTACAATGATGACAATGAGACAATTATGCCACTTTTGTGTTGTGTTTTATCTATATTTTTTTTTCTTTCTTCCAGATTGCGTCCTCCTACAACAAAACCAATGTTTCCTCCTATGTTGTTGATTTGAAAGTGAGTATTCAGTGTACAAGGAACAAGTTTGCTACTGTGAAGAAATTTTTACACCCCTGCTCCCGAAGTTTTTTTGTTTTTGTTTAATCATGGTCCTTTCTGTTTCTAAATATTCAATAAAAGATGTTTGATAGTATGTGTTTTGCGCTTGAGCTGAATTTTTAGTTTACTTAATGATATTGCTGCCTGCCTTTTGAAAGAGATAAACCGGTGAAGCAAATCTCTCATTTTTTGAATATCTTGAGGAAAGCATTTATTTGATTATTTGCTCAAAACAGCAATTTGTGACTTTCCTCTTGTGTTGACAATGAAATAATGTTGACTTGTCTAAAATAAATGATCTGATCGCATCTTTCTGTCTATTTTCTTCCTGCAGCAAGTAGCGCCTACTGGAACTGATGGCAAGTCTGACAGTCTGCGTGCTGGCATGAACAGGTAAGTCTAAGGAAATAGCATCCGAGATGCATTCTTTGCCAGATCGGAATACTGCAATGGCCTTTCCTTTAACTGTATTGTGATATTTTTACTCATCAGTTGACAGGTCTCCAGTAAGGGAGTTCATGACTATTGTCTGAAGATGATAATGGTCTGAAAATAAAGAGTCTATTTGTTGAATTAAATTTTACTCTAATAGAAATTCTGAATGACTGTTCTCAAACAAACACTTCGAATTTTTACTTTTTTATTAACATATGTCTTGGGCCAGTCATGATATGTTGAAGGACATATCTGTTGTGGACTAGTCTTGTGTTCCTTTTTTCCCTTGGATAACAACATTGTCTATTTAAAATGCTTTCTCTGTGGATTCGAGACATGGTGAATGGGAAAGATAATGCTTATTAAGATCCAGGAATTTATTAACCACCAGATGAGATGCATTTGCACAATCAAATAGCAAGAGAAAGGAGAGAAGAAAAAAACAACCAGTGTCTGAGCAGTGGAAGGGAAAGGTACAGAGACACGTGGGGTAGGGTCTGCCATTCTCTTTGAAGGTTGTTATCTTAGGTTACAGTACAGGCTCTGACATAGAGCCTTATGGGTATATGGAGCAGTGGGTGTTCAGGAAAGAAGCGGAAGCAAGATATTGATGATGAGCTGAAATACATGACACAGATTTAGCTGGAGAGAGGCAGTAGAGTCTAGTTATATGAGTAGATTTGTGCCCGCAAGAATAGGAGTGGTCTGACTTCACTTTGAGTAGTTTTGAGCAAAGTGAAATTTTTGTTTTCAGAAAATTTAGATCTATGAATTACATCTGGACTGCTTAGTGTAAGAGTCCATTATATGTCTCTTTAGAATGATGGAGTCTTATGCTAAGCAGTTGATCTGGATTGCAACCGTGAGAAAATCCAGTGGAATAACAACTTAGGAGTGAGAGATTTTATTTACTAAAAGATGTGAGATAGTTTCATTTCATGATAGTGACTAGTCAGATTTTGACTAGAGGTGGAAATAGAACTTTCTAATTCTCAAAGGCACTATTATGTTAATGACCCTTGTTCTTTCTAGGGCAATGAATGCAAGTTGAGTCTCTTGTGCCTCATGTTAAAGTTTGCTTTAATATTTTTGTTGTTGTGCCCACAGTTCTCGAAGGAGTTTCATCACTGAGCGACCCCCTACCTCTTGTTCTGCTGAGCCAAGGTTAGAATAATGAGTTTTGTTTTTCGCATGTGTTTCTCAAATGCTCACTTTTACAGTAAGCGTAAATAACTAAAGGTTCAGAAAGTTTGTCTTGTGATGAAAATATTTTTGGAACTGTTGATAATGTTCAGGTCAACAAAATGATTCATGGCATTAGTTCAGGGAAGAAAAAAGTAGTCACTGTATGTACCAAAGCAGCTGGTGTTCTGATAAAGGAGAGATGTATGATGTGCTTGGGTTTATGTCTTTTCCATCACTGAAAAGCTGAAAAGTTATTTTTAAAGGTGGTATAATTGAATGTCCTGTCCATGGGCCATGAGAACAAGCCAGGTGTTAGTTTTAGTAAGTTTTACGGCACTTGCAACACAATTAGGTCATAGAAGTGCCGAAGATTAGAGGTGTTACAAGAAAGAAACAAACACAAAAAACAAGGAGGAGAGATCAGGACGATAGATGTTTGATAGGAAAGAAGGAGCAAACCACACCAGAGCACCCGCCAACCACCCACAAGCCAGGTGTGTTGAAAAGTTTGAAAACTTCTAAAACCTCCAAATTTCAAAAGGGAATCTTCTTTGGGATTCGAACTTTAAACAGTTTCGTTCAGCTTGATACAAACTGATGGAGGGCAGAGAGATTTGCCAATTGTAATAGTCATGCGGAAAATGTGAAGATAATGGATTTTTAGAGCCCCAATATTTTATAAATGGAGGTCAGGTTATGGATAAAAGTTTATTTTTGAGGCTAGAAACATTGTGTCTTCATCAGTATGTTACAAGGGAAATCACAAATAAAATACAGAAAGTTGATGAAGTGGAAAAGTTTTACTTTTTTCTCAGATCTTATAAAGAAATCCTATGCTCTTCTTTGGCAGTGAACCAAAGCGCTCAAACACACCACCAGAAAAGAATGAGAGCAATGAAGATGACGGGTCATTATCCCGGGCAGAGATTCAAAACCAGGACGAGTACCACAAGCTGTATGCTGGACGTGGTAAGTGGATTGTGTGTCTGAAGCTCTCTTCTCTGAATGCTTTAAACAAGCTCGTCGCCGGATAATTGCCACTTGGGTGGGTTTATCAGCCCCTATCAGCTCCATAAGATTATTTAAGAGGCGGGACTGCCGTTTTTAATCATGTTTCTGCTAGAACTGAGCCAAGTAGATGAAAAGCCTTGGAAAACTGTGCGAATAACCCAACTTCAAGAAAACCCCTTTTGGGATTTGAATCATGACCATCTATACCAAAGCCGAACATGATACTGCCTGAGCTAACAGCACACCCTGCCTGCGGCAGACAACTGTTGACCTGTTTACTGAGAGACAAAACATTTAGTCTCCGAGTGGACAGAAAAAGATACCTCTATGCTGAAATGGTGCATACAATTTATTATTAAAGAGGAATGGTGGGTTTTATAAAAATCTAAAGACAGGGTTTTGGTGGGAGGGGAACCTCTTTTGAATGATACTTTCTACTTGTCTTTTGTTGTGCGTGCATGATGGCTGGATTTTGCACATTTCTGTGCTTGGTAATATTTTACTAGCTCTGTGTGCCATGTTTTAGTCTGATCATATAGTGGTATCTCAGGCAGTAAAATTTCTTTACGATGGAACGTAGAGGTAGCCATGTCACAGGGCTTCCCATGTAAAGGCCCTAAGTATGTGCTCTTCGATGACCTTACAAACACTTAAGTTATTAAAGTTGATATGAGTGGGCCTATCTTTGTTGCATAATATGCTTCTTTTCTTTCCCCCTGTTGTTATTGTTTTTATCTGTCTTGCTTTCCCCCCTGCACTAAATGACCATCATGAGAATGTATGTCTCTTTACTCATCAAACAAAACAAATTATGTTTTGTGTTATGGCTGTCTTTGCATGATCTGCTGTGTGACGGATAAGGCTGTAGTAAAGATTATTAATCAGGACATCGTCTCTGCTTCCACTTTTGAGAGGGGAGCATTGTTTAGTCTAGAGTGCATGGTGATAGGCAGAGTAGTGTCTTCTCATGTGCATGATTTTTCTTGCAAAACTCTGGAATGTTACCAGGTTCTGAGAGTTGTGTACTCTCTCACTGCCCTCACAACATATGGAAATATCCCTCTCAACCTGGTCTTTCATAGGAGCCAGCATCACAGCACACACCACTGTCTCTAAGAAAAAATTTTTTTTTTTTTCCATGGCCATCCTGTATTATGTTTTGCAGAATGCTAGAGGCTTGAATGCATTTTCTGTTTCTTTTTGTGTGAAGTGCATGAGGTGATGTGATTGTTGAATGTTGCATGTTTCAGCCAATGCAAAGAACAAGGCAGAACCATTCCGCCCGCCTTTTGAAGATGATTGTGAGTAATTTTGTCACTTATTCGTTGTGATTTGATTTTTTAAATTGAACTCATTCATTGGTTTTTGTTTGCATCCTGTTATTTTTTGTCCTTTAAGAAAGGAAGAAGAGATCATCTTTATCATTCTCTGTGGAAACTTGATTTACAATAATGTGTTCCAAATGTTGCAACATCACAATGAAAGGCTTCCTTTTGTCAAATTTTATGTGCCAACACCTTTCGATGGTCACTATAAGACAGCATCTATTGTTCAGCCAAGGTCAATATGTAAGGCTCAAGGAGACACGTCCCGTCCCCTGGTGACTGGAAAGTTTTCACAGACATTCAGTTTGATGAACCTCACGAACATGGGAGTCCACTGTTTTCTTAGTGTGGATTCTTCAAGTTTTGTACTTGTTTTAAAAACAGTGCAGCCTAGGGTATTTGTCTTAAGAACTGATATTGTTTTGATTTGTTTGAATGTAGCACCTACTAAACATGAACAGATTGTTTCAAAGGCAGAAGATTTGGTGCTTTACTTTTTTGTTGAAATGAGTCTTTGTCCATAATCTTTTCTCTAATTTTGAGTACTCATTTATTATTTCTTATATCAACGTCAGTCGGGTTTAAAACATAGTGAGTTCTTGAGACCATAATTACTTAACATATATGTATGATAATGCATCTAAAAAGGAAATCCCAAATGAGATGCAAAATGTTGATTTAATGGAACTGATTGATTGGTTTTCTGGTTTTATTAAACCTAGCAGGTGGTTGGAGGACACCACTGATAGGTCCTACTTCTTTACTCTTCCTCTGTTGTTTCTGTCTATCTAACCTTTTCCCCAGCATCAAATGAATGTTAATGTGTGGATGTGCTTCCTTTTACTCAAAACCTCACACTCTGTCTTCTTTTTTTCATAGCACTAGATGACTGTCATTATGTTAGTGTGCATCTCTTTACTCAAACGAGCAAACAAGACTAACCTGTTATCTTATTTTTCGCTTATTTTTTTTTTAGATACTGACCCGGTGAAAGCGTCCCCATCCGTGCGGAAAGAAGTTTCTCCTCGAGTCCGGCATTCACCCCAGGAACCTGTTAGAGAACCACCGAAGGAAACGCCACAAGCCAAAGATTCCGTGTTGGCGGAGGACTTCCTTCCTGTAAGTTATTGTGAAGACACAAGGTTGATATTTGAAGACTTCAGGGAAGAAAACGGCTTTAGTCTTGGGGAAAAAATATTGAGTACTTCTGCCTTTCTGTCTTGTGTTCATATGGAATATTGCCGTTCTTTCCATGTGAGACTGTTTTAAGTATATGTATCATAGCATGTTGGAATCAGGTGCCCATCAATTTTTGAGCTTATGGAGTTGCTTGTCTGCAGCCAGGCAAGTGGCCTGGAGGAGTGACGTGTTGTGTGCTCTGAGGGTGTCTGCCACTCAAATGAACAAACAAACAATCAAAACTTTATCCTGTATAGTTCTGGGGGCCTTATCTTTTCATCACTTTCAAAAGAAACCTCTTTTCAGACCTCAAAATTTAAACTAAGGTAACATACAATAATCCTAAAAACGTGACTGAGCTGAATTTTCGTGATTTTGAATTTCAAAATTTGAAAATTGTAAAGTGTTCTTATAAAATACAGTAAAGTTCACGCATCTCGAACATAATGCTCGGTCCCATTTCAATCCCTGTTTTCTTTGTATTGACTTCACGGAGTTCCTGAACTCGAAATCGCGACGCAGCACTCGAATCTTGAACAAATCCACTTCGCGTTCTCAACTAAAGACCCGGCTTTTCAGCCTTTCTGGCTGCGGGAAGGTATTTCTTTGTTATTGTTACAGCAAAAGCGTGGTCCTTGTCTCTCCAGGGGGGTTGAGGAGTGATGCTGACCGCACTGCACGACTAGCTCGCCACGCGTGCAATCATGCTGTGGGACACACACGGTGCGGATGGCAAGAGGAGTAACTTTCTGTAATCCAATGAAATGAGAGGAAAGGAATGACATAGGTGTTGGCTGTGCACACATGATATTTTCTGCTTTCCACTTTCATTCATCTTCTTGAATTCACACCGTCAACACGTTCATCAAGGGAGCTAACCATGTTAATTGTTTTAATGTTCTTTTTTTAACCTCCCTTGATTTTCCTTTATTTCTTTGTATTTGGGGCTCTCATGGACATGACGAATTTCAGAAATCTCGAACACTATTTCCAATCCCCGATGAATTCGAGTTACCCGTGTTTGACTGTATATGTCTTTACTATCCCTGTCACAGAAACAGAAGCCTTCAGCGTCCGGGTCCAACAACGTCTCTGAAGGTGAGCTGGTGGAAGTTCTCACCAAGGGCCACAGCACTATGGTGGCCGTGCTTCAGCAACGCAGCCGCAATCTGCAGATTGTCCGCACCATGTGGACCTCGGGAAATACTAAGGTTCGAACGTCCAGCTTTTTTCTTTTTTCTTTGGGGGGGGGGGGGGGCTTAAATGTACCTGTCATGACTGGCAGAGAAATTTTACCGCCACTATTACATGTAAAATGCTGCTATGTCTAAGCATGTTTGTATTTTCATTGGACACTAATCTCTTTGAACACTGTGTGGGTGGTTGGCAGGTGCTCTAGTGTGGTTTCTTCTTTCTTTCCTATCGTATATGTATTGTGATCATCTCTCCTTTTTTTTGTCTTTTTCTTTTTTCTCCTCAAGTTACAACCTCTCATCTTCGGCACTTATATGATCTGTGTTGAAAGTGTCAAAAAAGTGTTACTAAAACAAAATAAAAAACTAAGCCAGACACTATGGTTTTTCGGTGTAATTTATATGCAAGTTGTTTGTAAAGTGTTTTCTAGGTTATGCTGTTTTCCTGGCAGTGAATAATGCTGTTTTTTTGTTTTTTGTTTTAGAGATTTCTTAACCTTTGAGAGAGTGAGAGAGCATTTGGTAAGACAGTATCCCTGGTAGGTCCTACGTCTATGACTGTATTTACCCTCTGTTGTTTCTTGGTCTTGTCTTACTCATTTTGTTTGCACCAAATCACTAAATGGCAGTAATTGTGTTTATTTGTTTCTCTTTATTCGAACCCCTAAAGCTTTTGATTTCACTAGTTCTCTCTACTGTCTCTCTACCCCTCAGAGTGCAGTGGACTCTGCCATCAATATGAAGGACAAGGCAGTGCTGGTGGACCTTCTCAACATCATCAACTCCAGGGCGTAAGTTGTCACTGTTGTGGAATTTCTTGGTAGTTTATTTCTTAGCTGAAAATTCACACCAAAAAACTTGTTTATACTCTTTGTCTTTTTAAGTACATGAAAATAATTAAAATATTGCTCATTTTCAAGAATATTTTGAAGTGTTTGGCGATAAGAATTATATCAGGAATGTGGAATGTAACTATAGACCAGGAATTGAATTTTTTGTCTTTTATTGTTATTGAAAAGCAAAGTTTTCTGAATGAAATATTTGTTTTTTAAAGAGAAATAAAAAGATGTTTTTGTTTTTGCTGAACTTAGAGACAGGCTGATTGTGCTTACATATTTATTTTTTGTGTGATTTGAATTCTTTTGATATGGTGTCTTTCTATTGTTTTCAGATCACTCTGGAATCTGGATCTATGCAACTTACTCCTCCCAGAGTTAAAAGATCTCTTGTGTAGCAAGTATGAGAGGTCAGTTGTAGGCTCCCGGCTCCCATATCTTATGTGAACATAGTGAAATTACAAAGGCATTGGTGTTTTAATTGTTAATGTATCCATTTGTTTTCGAGGTTTTTTTTTTTGGGGGGGGGGGAGTGGGTTGTGTGTGTTTACATTACTTTTACTCTAGCTGGTGTAATGAAAAAACAAGAACCTTTTTGAGAAAAATACACGTGACTGTTTAAAATTCAGTTGTTTAAATTTGTCTTGTCAAATTGCCCTTCTTAGACAGTGGGTTAAGTAAGAACATCCTCCTTTGTCACTTTTTTAAAATGATAGCCCTGCACCAAATAGCATACAGTTCAGAACATTGTAATATCTTTTATTCTGAACAAATAATTTGAGGGGTTGACGGGTGCTCTGGTGTGATTTGCTCCTTTTTTCCTATCAAACATCTATTGCCCTTATTTCTCCTGCTTCTTTTGTTTGTATGTTACTCTCTAGTAGTAACACCTCTAAATCTTCGGCACTTATATGGCCTATTTGTGTTGCAAGTGCTATATAGTAAAACTGATACTTAAAGCACAAAAAAAAAAGGAAAGAAAGAAGGAACAAATGAATGTGTTCTGTCCAGATAAATGAATATTGTGTTTCCTTCCATGCAGTCATATCACAACAGCTGCGAATGCCGTGAAGCTGGTCCTGAGGAACTTTGGTAATGTCATCAAGTCCAACATGGAGGAGCCCCCATCCTCTTTTGTAGACATTTCTCGTGAGGAAAGGTGAGGCTGGCTGAGTGTTGTGGCCGGGTAGTGAGGGAAAAATGGAGCCATTTGGGCAGATGAGACATTTTTATATGAGAAGCATTATGTGTTTAATATTTATTACTCCTCTCGCCCTTTGGTCATTTTGTACCCCCTGGGTTGTATTCTTGACATTTTAGAAAGTACAAAGATATCTTTGAAACTTTCAGTATTTCTCAAAAAATCATTTTGTCAGACTGCTATGCAAAGTGTACGGATCGTATTAACGAGTAAATTTCTTCTTTGAAAGTGGTGGCACAGAGTTCCCCACTTCGTATGGATACGATAGTAAAACACGACGTGCGGATAGGGTTAAAAATGTCCATTTTCAGAGAAACAAAAAGTGAGGTGTGCTGACAAAATTAGTTACTTCTTGCAATCCAAGAATGGAGATATGGGCGGAAAATCGACACTGGGGGTCTGATTTATAGGTTTTCCTTTGGTGCCATTTTGTTCAAGTCTACTGTGTCTGTAAAGTTGATGTATCAATTTCCATAAGGCAAAAATCCAAGAAGTAACTCATCAGCACACCTTATCATTGTGGTTGCTGCTGTTGTTATTAGTACTGCTTGTCATCGTCAAACTGCCAGTGTGGGCAGACCTTCTAGGTACTCCGATGAAATTGGAACCTTCCGATTAAAAATGTTTGGGTTTTTTTGCCTAAGAAAGCACCACTATCAGATGTGCATAAAATCTGATATTTTTCTTTAACTTCAATTCCTTCTGTCTTAGGCAACTTATTGTAAATGATGTAAAAATACACATTTTTCTTTGTGTGTACTTGCAATACGCATTTATTTGCCATGATCGGTTTGTAACATAATCTAAATCTAATGGGGCTCTGGAGACTCTGATCCCCCCCCCCCCAACTCCTATTAATAGGGAGGATTGTGAGGAAAACTTCCAATATTTTTGTCATGGAGGGGTTGGCAGGTCTGGTATATGTGAAGGAGCATGATTTTATGAAGGGCTAGTATGTCCCTCCATATCAGGGTTTAAATTTAAGTCAGAGTTGTACTTATACCCATTTTCATGTTGATTACAAGTGACAGGAAGGTGTCATGGGTTGGTTGTACTTTGTTACTCTCCTTCCGTTGTATGTATTTATCAAATTCCAGGAAATGACAGTTATTGTGTCGATATTCTTTTGTTTACTTAAACTTAAACCGTGCTGTTTGTCATATTGTCTCTGCAGACACAAGAAATGCCTGGCGTGCTATACAGTGCTAAGCTCCATCAAGTCTTTGATCCGCTCCTCGCAATCGACCACAACGCCGAAAGTTGCCAGCGATTTCCGCGAGATCATGATCCTGCTTTCGGGCATAGAATGATGACAGATGCCACTCCACTCCAGAACGGCAAAAATACGGACTGAGATGACAATGTGACCCATGACCCTTGACCTGCCATCTGCTGTGATGAAGGAACTGTCTGTCTTGTGTGCACACTATGAGGCTGGGCTGTGTCGGCTTTGAGGAATTAGAAAAAAGAAATATTGAGCAAAGTTTTTATGGATGGGTGTCTTACCGACAGAAGTTTATGAGTTATCTTCTTCTCCATCTCCTCCTACTCCTTCTCTGCCTCCTTCTCCTCCTCCTCTTTCTTCTTCATCATCATCTTCTCCTCCTCCTTGTTATTCCAGATCTGAAAAGAAAAATGACGGTGATGACAATCCAACCTCCACCCACCCAATCGTATGTCCTACATCTTGCAAAAAATGGACGATATCTTTTTTCATATGGTTGACTGATTGTTCGAACTGATGTCAGCGGCAAGTGATGAATGTTGAATGTTGATTTTTGCTGACTGGATTGTTTCCTGGTTTTCACAAGGAATACGTTACAGCTGTTTAAAGAGGTTGTTTTTTCCTTTGTGGTGCAAAAACTGAAAAAAAATACAAGGCATTCGGAACAAGATTTTATAGTCAAGTCAGTGTGAACTTACGAGGGGCCTATTGTGAGTGAAACAAGACTTGTGTATGGACGCATATGTGACGGGCATACTTGAATGTCCGTGTGGATTTGACTTGGTTGTGTGGTGGAGAAAAAAAATCAACAGCCCTGTGTGTCTGCGACAGGTCATGGGTAGTCTGAAAAGAAATATGTCTACCCTCCAAGCGGCTTGTGGAATTTGTCATTAGTCAGTGATGGTTGTGGATGGGAGAGGAAAAATTCTCCACGCCTTCAGTGTTTTTAAGTGATCTGATAAAATGCACTGCACCAGTGTGAAGGTTGGCAAAAAGTTTTATTGCCTAGACATATCCTCTTTTCACTTTTTTTTTTGGAAACAAAAACATTGACTGTGTGTTTTGTTCTGTGAGATTCTTGATAAAGAGGAACAACACTGGTGCATGGTGTTCATGGGCTGATTGTTTGAGAGATGAGGGAGGAAGGATGAAGTGGATTTGAAATAAGATTAATTCGTTTTGTAGGTACACTAGCATTTTGTTTTCTTTTTGTTTCAGTTAGAAAACGTTCTGATATGGTTTGCTCGTTGTAAACTGTTGCTTGTGGAATGTGGTAGTTATCATGCTGACGCACAGTTATCTTTTATGAGCTTGGCCATTTGTACTCTTCTGTTTGGAAGATGTCTTTGGGTTAATTATTTTACAGTTTCTCCGCCTTATACCGAAGTAATAACTTTTATGTCACATTACATTGGCACCCTAGCCTGGTCAGAAATATCTGCACTTTATTTCCATTTTTTTTTTCATTTGTATCGCAAATTTTCCCTGCTAAAAAACAATACCTTTTATTTTTGTATTCAAAAGCACCTCATCTTATTTTGTATCTTCAGACTGTTTGTGTGTCAGTTTGCAGCTAATTTCGTCTCCTGTTTCTCCTGTGGAATACTTGGTGATCTCTCTCAGCTTCTTATCATGCTGCAGTTGATAATGGTGGGGGAAAGGGGGGTTCTATTGTTTTCAGATCACTCTGGAATCTGGATCTATGCAACTTACTCCTCCCAGAGTTAAAAGATCTCTTGTGTAGCAAGTATGAGAGGTCAGTTGTAGGCTCCCGGCTCCCATATCTTATGTGAACATAGTGAAATTACAA